GATATTAAACTTAAAAATTAAGTAAAGAAAGAACGAAAAATTGGATGAACTGAACGCGGTCAATTTTGTTATCAATTTGGTTAGAATTTCATACTTCCTCCTTTATCAGGATCTTTTACATGAAGAACTCTTATTCGCAAAACTCACAAATATTCTAGTAAAAAATATTCTTATAACAAATTTCAAAATTAAAAAAAGAAACCCTATTATAAAAAGTGGAAATTTAATAATTCCAAACCTCATAATACCTCTAAATCTAAGCCAAGTTCTTCAAAAAAAACTGCAAATTACTGGATATGTGGCAAACCGGGTCATTATGCAAGTAAATGTTTAACGAAAAACAAAATCCACAAACTCGATATTTCTGACGAATTTAAAAATCAATTAGAGTCAATTATTCTTCGTGATAAAGAACCCGATCTGATATCGAATACTCTTTTGACAATCCTTCTAATAATGAATTTCAACTTAATGAAATTAATAATGATTTTCTTACTTCTTCTGAAGATGAACCTGACGATGATCCAAAAAAATTTCATGAATGTTTATGCCAATCAACTAATGAGTATTATAAAGCCATTTCAGAAATGAGTGGTCTCAGTATTAATGTTCTTACAACCCAGGAAAAAATGATCCTTGAATTTATCGACAATATTGATGATCCGAAGAAAAAACAACAAGCTATGTTCAAACACTTCAATTCTAAACAACAAAATATTCCAACTACAAATACTACTCAGGAATTAAAATATGACACTTATGATTTTAAAGATGTCCCCAACCATGTTAACAAGGTGCCAACCCCATTTAATACATTCACTATTCAAGACCTCCAAAATGAAATTCGCAACCTCAAAATTGGTGCTCAAAATTTACAATCCATAGTTCTTATTCTCTATTAATGTATATAGATAACTATGTATCTGTAGATAGATATGTTTAGATATATATGTATATAGATAGCTATGTTTCTGTAGATAGATATGTTTAGATATTTATAGATAGCAATGTATCTCAGTCCTTATCTTGTCTTCTTTCTCCTATATAAAGGAGACCATGTACATTGGTTTCATAATTGAAATAATATATTTCACAGAGACTCTCTCTCTCTCTCTCACACACACAACTTGTTTTAAAATGGTATCTGAGCGCAAGGTTATGGCTCATTAACCAGAAAGCTTCACATTTTCTAGTATTTATCTCTGTTCTGTCACTATTCAGATTCTTTTTGTTCTCCAAAATTTTCACACAGCCTACCAAAGTACTCAGAATCTTCTAATGATTCCTACGCCACCAACGTGTCCTCTGATCAGACTCCACGCACCCTCACATGCCACTTTTGTCGCCGGCGCATCACTCGCTTCCGCCTTTGCTATCTCACGCGCCCTACGTTAGCCTTTGTTGCTTGAGCCGTCTCAGCCGCCTCAGCCGCTTACGCCTAATTGACGCACGTTGCTGCTAACGTCAGTCCAAATCTGATTCAGCTTCAACCGGTTCAGCCTTTTCAACAGGCCGATTTAGTCCAATTTTTGGCCTTTTTGGGCCTGTTCAAACCGATTTCCCACTATTTTCAACCCTTTGAATTCACTGGTAGCCTCATTTTTTTCAGATTCTGCATCTATAGTGTTTTTTTTACTCCATGGATTGCCTGGACTCTTCTTACCACCCTATTTCAGTTGTTCTTGACGGGTCCAATTATCTCTTATGGACACAAGCCATGTCTGGCTTCCTCAAAGGCAAGAAACTTTGGCGTATTATCACTGGGGATGTGCACAAACCATCCAAGAAATCGCTGAATCCATTGCCAAATATGCAGACCGCTTAGAGGATTGGGACAGGAAGAACTATCAGATCATCACTTGGCTTCGGAATACATCTACTACATCTATCAGCCTTCAATTTGGTCGGGTCTAACTTGACTCTGCTTCCATTCTGACAAAAGACATCTAGAATTTTTTGAAAGACCGATATCAAAATACTAGTCTTGCTCACCAATATCAGCTTCAGAGCCACCTTCACTGTATGCGCCAAGAGCCAACTCGGACTATTAATGATTTCCTCTCCAAAATTTATTCTGTTTGGGATCAACTCGCTCTCTCTGAACCTCCATGGCTCCATATTGAGGACGCTATTTTGTTTACAACTTATCACGACCAACAGCGATTGGTTCAGTTTCTTATGGCTCTAACTCCCCATTTTGAGCCAGTGCGCACATCTCTCCTTTATCACACTTCTTTACCTACTCTTGAGCAGGCTATTTCCGAACCACTATTAGAGAAAAATAGGCTTGGTCCTCACCATTCACACCTTATGAACCCTGCTCTTGCTACTCCATAGACTCGAAGTTCTCATTCACAACAGCAGTTCACTACTTGCAATTACTGTCAAAACCGAGGACTTCCATCTACTCATCTTCTGGTTCATTGTCCAATTCGATTTTGCCAGTTTGCAACAAGATTAGTCCTGGTCATCTACTGCAAGATTACTTCCGCAATCTAGCCCGAGCCTCTCCTGGTTCATTCTTTCACAATGGCCTTTTCATTGGAAGTTTTTCACGGGGCAACTCTCAACGTTCTGGGAATCAGTTTAAATCTATGCCTGTTCATCGCACTGTTGCTACTGCCTTAGAGGATTTACCTTCTTCTATACCTATAAACCCTTCTACTCTAGTCGTTTCTCAAACCGATATCGAAGCCATGTTCCAACAATTTCCCTCCACTTCCGGTACTCCTCCATCTATTGCTTTGTTTGTCACCTTAGGTAACACTTCCTGGTACTTTGACTCAGCTTGTTGTAATCACATGACCTTTGACCCTACTATTTTTACTTCTCTCTCTTCTAATCCTCATGTTCCTTCTATTTATACTACTGATGGGTGTCTTTTGTCTGTAAGTCATGTTAGTTCTGTTTCCACCTCTCACTTATCTTTATCTCATGTGTACCTTATACCTGCTCTTACTTTAAATCTTGTCTCTATTGGTCAATTGTGTGAGCATAGTCTAACTGTTACCTTTTCTCATATTGGTTGTTTAGTGCAGGACCCTCGGACGGGACGGACTTTTGGGATCGGCTGTAAGCATGGTCGTCTCTATGAACTCATTCACCTTCATGTTTCAATTTCTTCTCAACTAGCAGCTCCTATTACTACTCATTTTTTATCTCATTTTCAACTTTGGCATTGTCATTTAGGACATCTTTTTGTTGGTCGGTTAAAGTCTTTAATTTCTAGTGGTCAATTAGGTCCTGTCAGTTCTGATACTTTAGATTGTTTGTCATGTCAACTTGCCAAACAACCTACTTTATCGTTTAATAAAAATGACTATATTTCTCTTACACCTTTTGATCTCATCCATTCTGATGTTTGGGGGCCCTCCCCTACTCCTACTATGGGAGGTGCATGCTATTTTGTTATTTTTATAGATGATTTTTCCCGTTTTACATGGTTGTTTCTTATGAAAAATAGTTCTGAGCTCAAACAACTTTATTACAATTTTGCTAAAATGGTCCAAACCCAATTTTCTAAAACTATTAAGATCTTTTGCTATGACAATGCCATGGAATATAAGGATTTTGATTTTCTTTCTTTTCTTCAAAGTTTTGGTACTCAGCCTCATTGTTCCTGTCTCAGTACATCTCAACAAAATGGACGTGTTGAACAGAAACATAGTCATATTCTCGAAACTACTCGAGCTTTCCTTCTCTCTTCCTCTTGTCTGAAATTTTTTGGGGCGAAGCTGTTCTCACAGCTTCTTACACTATAAATTGTAACCCTATGCCTGTCATTTATAATCACACTCCCTATGAGCGTTTGTATGGCATTTGTCCCCCTTACCCCAATCTTAGAGTCTTTGGTTCTGCATGTTTTGTTCTTCTCCAACCTCATGAACACAACAAACTTGAACATCGTTCACATCTTTGTTGCTTATTAGGGTATGGTATTGAACATAAAGGGTATCGTTGTTGGGATCCTATCTCCTAGCGCCTCCGTATCTCTCGTCATGTGGTTTTCTGGGAACACAAAATGTTTTCCTCCATCTCTCAATTCCGCTTATCCACTCCCTCACCCTCTCTAATTTTTATTAACCCTTCCACAAATCTGTTTTCTGATGAGATTGATACAGGGCCCCTGCCTGTCCTTTTAAAGACATCCTTACCTACTGGTCTTGCTCGTGAGCCTGCTCGCTCTGATGGTCCTGCTCTTGCTCCTTTGGGATCCTCGCCTCCTGTTTTGTCTCGCTCATACCCTTTGGCTCCTCCACCCTCTGCTCGGTCACACCGGGTAACACAACCTTCTACTCGTCTTCGTGATTATATTGTTGGTTCCACTGCTTTTTCTACTCATAAACATACCTCCTATCGTGAGGCTCGCTCTAATCCTCTTTGGCAGCATGCTATGACTGATAAATTGCTGGCTTTAGACAAAACTCATACTTGGGACGTTGTTGATCTTCCCCCTAGCAAGACTATCATTGGTTGCAAATGGGTATGCGAAATCAAGACCCACTCTGATGGCTCTATTGAGAGATACAAAGCTCATTTTGTTGCTAAAGGCTTCAACCAGGAATATAATATTAATTATGAGGAGACCTTTGCTCCTGTTGCCTGTCTTACCTTTGTTCGCAGCTTAATTGTTGTTGATGCCACTCCTTAATGGGACCTTTCTCAAATGGACGTTAAAAATGTTTTCCTTAATGGTGATTTTCTAGACAAGGTCTACATGCAAAACTCCTCTTAGGTCTACTTATCTACCTCATAAGGTCTGCAAACTTCAGTGTGCATTATATGGTCTTAAGCAAGCCCTGCGCGCTTGGTTTACCAAGCTCAGCTCTACTCTTCATGATTATGGTTTCACCTCCAGTTCTTATGATACTGCTCTTTTTGTGCTGAAAACTGCTCAAAGGACCACCCTGCTTCTTTTTTATGTGGATGACATGACTATCACCAGTGATGATGTAGATGGTATTCTTTGCCTCAAATAGTTTCTTAGCCATCATTTTGAGATGAAGGACCTTGGTCCTCTTAGCTATTTCTTGGGTCTTGAAATCTCCTATGACTCCACGAGTTCGTTAACCTCTCAGGTTAAGTATACCTCTGATCTTCTTGCTCGTGCTCATCTTACAGATTGCAAGATTACCTCCACTCCCCTAGAGACTCAGAGTCGTCTTACTCCTCTTGATGGCACTTTACTCTCTGATGATACTCTGTATCGTTAGCTGGTTAGTAGCCTTGTCTATCTCACTGTTACTCCTCCTGACATTGCCTATGTTGCCATATTGTCAGCCAGTATATGTCGATTCCTCGTACACCTCGTTATGATGCTTTAGTTCGTATCATTCACTATCTTAAAGGCACCTTGTTTCATGGTCTTCATTATTCTGCCCACTCCTCTTTTTAGCTTTGTGCCTTCTCCGACGTTGATTAGGCTGGGGATCTTACTGACCGTCGCTCTACTACAGGTTTCTGTTTCTTCTTAGGTGATTCTCTTATTTCTTGGTGTAGCAAGAAACAATCTCTTACTGCTCGTTCAAGTACAGAAGCCGAATACCATGCTTTCGCTAATACTACTCAGGAACTTCTCTGGCTTCATTGGCTTCTTGCTGACATGGATGTTACCCCCTCTGGTGCTACTGACCTCTATTGTGACAATCTGAGTGCTATTCAGATTGCTCACAATGATGTTTTTCATGATCGCACCAAGTATATTGAGATTGACTGCCATTTTATTCGTCAACATGTCACTCATGGTACTATTCATCTCCATCTGATCTCTTCTGCTAATCAACCTGCTGATATCTTCACCAAAGCTCATCCTCCTAGCTGCTTCATTGAACTTGTTTCCAAACTCAAGTTGGTTGATGTTTATCCTCCTTGAGTTTGAGGGGGGTTGTTAATGTATATAGATAGCTATGTATCTATAGAAAGATATGTTTAGATATATATGTATATAGATAGCTATGTTTCTGTAGATAGATATGTTTAGATATTTATACATAGTTATGTATCTTCGTCCTTATCTTGTCTTCTTTCTCCTATATAAAGGAGACCATGTACATTGGTTTCATAATTGAAATAATATATTTCATAAAGACTCTCTCTCTCTCTCTCAACTTGTTTTAACATTCTCAAAGAAAATTTTGCTGATGATTTTCTTGCTGGTACATCTTTCCCATATAAACCACATCTCCAATAATCATCCAATAAAAATCCTAAAAAACAACCACTTATTGTTAATGATTCTGTATATTTACTTCTTAAAAGTATCACATTTCAAAAATGACAAATTGAATCTAAGGTTATAACACGTGATTTCATACTCACTACAATGGCACTTGTTGATTATGGTGTTGATCTCAATTGCATTCGCGAAGGTCTTTTACCTTTCAAATATTTTGAAAAAACTGATCAATCTTTAAGTATTGCCAACGGTGGATCTATGGAAATTAATTATAAAATATCCCATGCTCAAATTTGCGATCAAGGTATTTGCTTAATTACTGAATTCCTATTAGTCAAAAACATGTCTCAATTAATTATATTAGAAACCCCCTTCCTTACCATGATAGTTCCATTTGTCGTTACAATCATAATAATTGTACTGAGAAGGTTTAATATTAGGGTCATAAAAATTTTAAAAAATGGTTAGGTGTCCCCATTCAGCAAGAGAAATGCTCTTGAGAATATAAAGTTTTGAGTAATGGAGAAGACTTTTGTCTTCCTTAGAATAAACATGTTCTACTGATATGGATTTTATTTCTTGAAGAATTTTTTCATAGCATAAACAAGAATGCTGGCCAGAGTGTTGACTTTAGTGCCAGTTACTGGGAAAATAATAAGAAATGAGGCTTTTAGGTTTTGTACTGGGTTTTTGTTGCAAATGGTATATATGATCAAGGATTAATGGGACAATAAGATAAGTTGTATCATGCGGTATAATAACAATGATTGGATGAAGTAGTAGAAGTAGAAGTAGAAGTAGATGTAGATGTGGTCTTGAAATTGGGTCATTCTTTGGAGAAAGTAGCTTGAGACTAGTTCTTCAAATTGTATGCCATCCAAAAATAATATTGTTTGGGGCGAATAGATCTTTGGTGGTGATGTATGAAAAAATGTTAGTATTTAAAGAGTTTTTGATGTGGCTGAGATGCTAATGTGGTGGAGTCTGTAGATCCCTGTAAAAATACACGAGTGAGAAAATTAGGAAGTGAATTTGAGTCACCGCGAATATATTCTATTTTTAAAATAAAAAACACATAGAATGGCTTGCCACCGAACAAAGGCTTGCCAGGAAACAATATTTTTTATATCTTTTTCAAGAACTTCTTTGGTAGTTTTGCAGCCAATACATAATAAAAGTTCTTGATTGAGCAGATCAGATTCAAATTTTTTTTATACAAGAAACAATGAATAAAATTTCTTTTTAAATTGTGGAATACCGTAGTTGAGGGCCTTTCCAAATAGCAGAGGTGGATCGAACTAGTTTTTCTTTACCTCGGTAGAGTTGTTTGAGAATACCACCATAGCTAATGTCACTAGCATCTGTCTCCACAATTTTATAAGTAGTAGGAATAAGTAAACATAATAGTGGTAAATATTTAAAGCGTTGCTTGATACGTTGGACGACAAGAGTGTGCTCTTTTGTCCAGGGGGAAGGATTTTTCTAAGTCGAGTATAAAGAATTTTGGTATCTTTGTGGTCATCTTTGTAAAACTCAGAGATGTGATTGAGGCTACCAAGAAATCATTATAACTAATTCACGTATTTACCTGGGTCTCCTTTTAATCACTAAGATTGTATTACCTGGGTCACCCTTTGGTATCAGAGCCAAGTTAGTTTAGAGTTGATTTATTTCTCACCATTTAACCCAAGTGTTACCCAAGTCGCAGAAGTCTGTAAGCCATCAAGTCTTAAGGCAAGAGGCCATTGTTAGCCATCCGAGCTTAGGCAGAACCATTGTTGACAGACACAGTTAATATGGCAAGATTATTTAAATCATTCTCTAATTTAGTTACTAGTGAAGGTTCCTCAAAGAAACCTGTTTTTATCAATCAAAGTGATTTAGATATAGAACGAATTGAAGAACGTCTTAAAAATTGGAAATTGCTTACTAAAGATATCTATTGTTTATATGACAAAAAATTCAAACTCAAACAAACCTACAAGATTAAGACGGTTGAACAAATCTTACCTGTTACTCAAGACAACCAAAATTTTCAATTACTAGACCGCGACATCATTCTTTAAATTCCAGAAAAAATTTAATTTTTTACATCTTGGTCTAATCCAAGTTGGAATAAAACTTATGACACGCATGCATCTCAACATTTCTAGCTTATGTACTATTCGAGATATGCGTCACCATGATTATGATGACTCTTTGTTAGGGGTTATCAATTCTAGTCTTGCACATGGACCTATCTATTTAGAGTGCTTTCCTAATTTTGAAGTATCATTCAATTCTTAAGACTCTTACACTTAACATCCAAACCAAACGCTATAAAATGGATTCCTCAACTTTTAACATCATGGTTTGTTATCGCGTCTATCTCAAGGCCATGACCACCTCTTGCCCTAGCTTTAAATATATCGCACCAAACCCTAAACAATCCACCATCCTATTTCATGCTCATCAAGAGCATGCTGAAGTAATGGTTCCCTAGGTTATAACCTGTCAAGAAGTCTTACAAGCTGATGTTGACGATGAAGAAAATACATGGGTAATTCCCAACGCTGTCCCAGCTCTTACCTCTCAACCCCATACAAATCCAAACACCATTCTCCAAAATCCAAATGGTTCTGTTATACTCTGCTTCCAATGATCCCAATCTGTTCGAACTCAATCATGAACCTCTTCCCAACCAACTTCTACCTCTACACGATATCATATTCCCGCACAAACTCCTCAGTATCTTCATTGGCATTCAATAGATATACATTTACACTCTACACGCCGACAACCCAATCAAATTCCTAATACAAGTTATGATGATTTTAGTCGGTTCTGTCAAGATATTGATTTTGGCATAGACTCTCTATTATTAATGTTATTCAAAATGATTTCACAATTAATCACAACTTACTTTCCGAAGAATACAATGCCCCATATAACTCGCACAATCGAATTTATTTCAAGCAAAACCATACCATTCCCCAACAAGTTACTCGATTTGAATATTTCCTTACCTTACAAACTCTACAAAATCATATACCTTTTTTCCATTGGTATTTCAATCAGTACTGCCCTCATCACCAAATAGAAGTTCCACAACGCCTCCTCACAGCACATTTCAATGTCATACAAAAAAACTGCCTTGTCCTCAGTGGTGAACCCATTCAATCGTTCATCCTCCCAGCAAAACTTGTAGCCTTCGTGGTGCTGGATTTTCCTTCTATGCCCAACCCTATAACCGACCTCCGATGGAAGGCACCCAATCATCCAGAACTACCCCTTCAAATAGTTATGACATTGGACAAGTCTATAAACAGTTAAATTTTACAAATATACACCTTCAAACAATTGGTGAACAAACTACCCATATTGAAGAATGAGTTGATCGACTTTATATCTATGTTCCTCCAAATCAAGTTAGACAACCTCTCTTGATTCAAAATCTACCTTATCCAGCCTATTCTTTTACCAGTCCCTCTGATGAATTTTTAGCCGAACTTAACAAACGCAAAGAAATTCTTACCAAAGTCCTCAATGACAATGAACCCATCCATTATCCTATTGTCGATACCTCCAATCCTTTTATTCCAAAAAGAGAAGGCAAAGATACAACTACTCATACTGGTACAATTAATGTACTCCAAGATGACACATTATTACAAAATTTATATGAACAATTTACATCAAATACTCCAATCCAAATTCAAGAAACATCAATGATTTCTGCTCAACCACCAATGCGAATTATTATCCATGACCTACCCCAATTGACCTTCAATTAGAAGAATGCCATTTTGATACTCTTTTTTCCTGTAGTGATCTATGCGAATGAAATATTGATGGTAAGTCTGATTACCAAATTCTCAATCTCAGCCAGCATATGGTCATGACTGCTAATGCTACCCTTGCTAAACATCCCTCTAACAATAATGATGGCACTGTTGCTCAAATGCTTATTTTCAATTTTTCCGGCCAGCTCAAAGGCTGGTGGGACATTGTCTCACCCAAGAACAACAACAGGCGATTGTAACTGTCGTTAAACGAGATCAAACTGATATTCCAATCCTTTATCCAAATACTTGCCAACCTATTAGTGATGTTACTACTCTAGTAATTGCCAAAACTCAACATTTCATTGGCAATACTCAAATTATTCTTGAATGATCTAAAGAACTCCTTATCAATTTGAGATGTCCAACTTTCATCCATTTCTGTTGGTACAAAGATATATTCCTCTCCAAACTCTATCAAAGACATGACGCCAATCAAGATTTCTAGGAAAAAACGTTTCATTGCCGGGCTTCCGACACTTTTCGCTAAAAAGGTCAAAACTCAAATCTGCACCAAGCATGATGGACAAATCCCCTTCAACCAATATAGTTTTGGAGAATTAATATCTGAAATTTGTGCTGAAGGATTATCCTTGTGCAATGATATCAAACTTAAAAATCAACTAAAGAAAGAACGAACTAT